TCCTGAGCCCCTGGACCCCGGCCCCTGGGTGGGTCGTTACACCACTCCATAGCCGCTGCAGAGGGCTGCAGGGGGTGGGCCTTGCTCCGTGAGTGGCGGGGGAGCCCTGAGAGCTCAGAGCCAGGCGACAAAGGAGGTCACCTCGATCCCTCCAGGGGAGGCGGTGCTGCGACCCAGCTCACAGAGTCGATGTGCATCCTGTCTCTGGTCTCATGTCCTGTGCATGTGCGCCCCGGGACACCCGTGGACAGAGGAGGTGACGCGCAGGGTGCGACCCAGACATTCCTGGTTGGAAAAGCCTTCACTTCCTGTCCAGCGACAGTGTCGGGGTGGGTGTCTGGGGGTGATCTAGTGGAGGGGCAGGGAGGAAGGGGACGAGGCTAGACCTGGGGACCCAGGGAAGAGGCGGCCGCAATACCCAAGGGCGGGGGGGCATTGCCAAGCGTGGGCGGTGGCGGGGAGGAGGTCTGAGGATGCGGGGTTGGGGAGCTCGGGACAGGTGTGCCCTTCCGGCTCGGCTGAGCAGGGGGCCGTGCCATGGGCCGGAGGGGAAGTTCAGGAAGGCGGGTGGGTTTGTGCTGGGCACGTGAGGGGTGATGTCCAGACAACCGGGTGGGGATGCCTAGCAGGCACAGTGTGTGCATGTGCGTGAGTGTTGGGGTGAAATCCTTCAGTGGGGAGGGGTCGGAGGCTAGTAGGGTGGCCAGGGCACGCTGGCGGTCATCACGTGACAGGGTACACGGGCAGCTGGGGGGCAGCTGAGTGCCCCTTTCTCGGGCAGCTCCATCTCACTGGGGCTGTGAGCAGAGCCGAGGAAGTCAGGGCAACGCCAGCGTCACCGGCCCCTCGAGAGCAGGGGGCTGCACACCCAAGCCCAGCCCCGACCCATGCCCCCACCCCCACGCCCCTTGGCGAAGTGACCGGGCAGCTTCCCCTCCCGAGGCCTGGCCGACCCCGCTCTCTCTGACTTGAGCTCAGCCGTGTGGCTTGAGCTCTGGTCGATGGCAGGTGGTGGAAGGGACGGTGTGAGCCGGCTGGGGGACTAGAGACGGTGCAGCACGGAGCTGTAGGGTCCTCCCAGCTGAGGCCAGGTTCAACCAGCCAGCTCCCTGCTGACGCACCAGCGGCCCACAGACACACGGAGGCTGGCCCTCCAGGACAGTTTGTCACACAGCGTGCGGTAACCAGTCCCCCCCCCCCCCCCGGGGCCTCAGGATCCACAGGGCAACTTCACAAAATGTCTAGGAGGGTTTCAGCCTCAGCACCACTGGCTTTTGGGCCGGAGGATCCTTTGTGGCGGGGGCTGTCCAGGGCCTGGAGGGTGTTCAGCAGCACCCCTGGCCTCTGCCCACTAGATGTCAGTAGGACACGTGCCTTCCCCCAGCTGCAACGACCCAAGATGTCTGCTGACATTGACATGTGTTTCCTGGGGAGCAAAAAAAAAATCAACTGAGCTGAAAACCGCCGGGCTAAGGGATTCCAGAGGAAGGACAAGACCAGCCCTCGTCGAGCGAACCGGCAAACCACGGCTGCACGGACCCCACCCACATGGGGGCTGCAGACACGTCACTCACTCATCTGCTTGCCCATTCTTTGACGCCTTCTTTCCCACACTCATGAGCAGCCCCTGCCTGCCTGCTCTGCGCTGGCCACTGCGCTCGGTGCTGCGGCTCCCAGGAAACTCGTCACTTTGTGGGACACACACAGGCAAGTACGAGCCCTGGGACGTCAGGGGGGAGGCATTCAGGGCCAACTTCCTGGAGGCAGTGGCTCCAGAGCTGAATTGTAAGAGCTAAGGCAGACTTCGCCAGGATGAAAGGGGAGTACTGGGGGGATACGAGAAGGCACAATACATGGTAGGCTCTACAGGTAACAGGTATAGTCGGAGTGGGGTGAGGGGAGCAGGGCAGACCCGGCCCTTTAAGGAAAACAGGACCCATTTGCTGGGGAGTTGTGATAATGCAGCTGCTCCAGGCCACACATGGCTTCCCAGAAGGCAGACACGGCCACTTAAGTCCCTGCCACAGAGCCCAGCCGGCCCCGGGGACGGCTTTGCCCGGCCAGCAGGGTTCAGGCGGAGGGCTGAGGGGAGGACAGGGCCGCACTGTGGGGAGGCCCGGCCCCGCCGCCCCGAGGGCTGGTGCGCGGCCGCCTCCGAGAAGCCGTGAAAAGCAGCATTGTGGACGGGCCGGGCAGGCAGGCGTGGGCTCTGGGCACCGCCCATTTCTGCCCCTGGACTCCCCGACCCAGCCCCCGCCCAAGGCAGGCAGGTGGAAACAGCGTCCTTGGGCAAATATTGACCAAGGGCTTGGACGCTCCGGGCCTGGGGGAGGTGTGGCCGCGAACACAGTCTCGGGCTGTATTGGAAAGCAGGCTCATGGGGCTGGGTGTTCGATAGAAACTTCCCGAAACTGGGACTCTGCTACGTGCCAGGCACTGTGGTGGGGGCGGGACGGTGAGTGAGACGGACAAGCCCCCGCCACCGTAGTGCTCACGTGCCCCCGTCGGGGACAGAGGGGACCCAGTACATCAATGACCAGGACCGTTACTAGGCAGTGGTAAGCGCTCCTTGGTGCGGGACGAAGTGTGGTGAGGAGAGAGAAGGGACCGGAAGGAGACGTGACCTTCCTCGGGATGACCACAGACCGCCCCTCTGACCAGGTGGCAGGTGGACGGCATCCAAGGGGACTTCCTCACTCACTCACTCACCCCGTGTTCATGGGGCACTGCCCTCCCAGGCGCCAGGCCTGGGGATAGATCAATGAATGAAATCGACCCCAGTCCCTGCTCTCCTGGAGCCAATGGGAGGAAAGGCCGCTGAGCAATACCATGACCTCATGAATGAACTGGATGGCCTGCTGGGAGCTGAGGGAGTGCAATGGAAACCGGAGAACACGGGGCGGGAGAGATGGGCCCGGAGGGCCAAGCCCCAGGGCAGGGGCCGATCAGAGGGAGCCGGGCTGGGTGACAGCTGACCAAAGGGGCAAAGGGCCCAGCCACGTGGATATGGGAGGAGGCGAGTCCCAAGCGAGCCAGGTAACTCCCAGCACCGTGAGGATAATAACAACGTTGCTTTTAGCCCCAGCTTGGGCGCGCCCGCCCGTTACACAGCCGAGGACGGAGGAAAGCCAAGTGAAGCTCCGCGCCAGCCCAGAGGCCCCTCCCACTGTGCGGCGCCCCCTCCGCTCTCTGGGCAGTGTGGCTGCGATTCTCACGTCCAGTTGCCTGGACTCCTTTCCCTTCGAGGGTGCTCCCTGCTGATCCCCCGAGGCAACCGCCCATCAGTCTCCAATCGCTCCACCTCGGAAAGATTAGCCGGCCGTATCCCCCCGCCTGGCAACCTGGGCCTGCTGTCCCCCGGTCCCGCCCCTGCTTCAGCCCCTTCCTTTACGGACCGTCACCTGCACCTCCAAAGACCCTCAGAGTCCCGGTCACCCTTCCACCACCGGTGGCCCTTGGGAAACCCCTCTCGTCTCACCCCGTGTCCCACCCCCACGCCCCTTCCTCAGGACGCGCCTCCCTCCCTGGTGCCTGGACTCCGCCTTCAGCCCCCCCCCCCTTGCAGCCCAGCGCTCTCATGGCTGCGAGCGAGCTCTTCCTGGGGCCCCGGCGGGGTCACCCCGGGGGGCGCACAAGAGCCAGTGTGCCTCTGCGGCTTCCCGCAAGGGGTTGTCCGGCTGCCCCGGCCCCCCCGCCCCCAAGGCTGTGCTTCCCCAGAAGGCGAGCAGGTGCCTGGTCGGTCGGGCCTCCCCCTGTCCTTACAGGGGCGCAAGCTGCCCCTTCCCTCGACGGTGTTCCCCTACTTTGTCTCGGGGGACAGGCCTGCCCCTCATCAGACACCACCTCTTCCGAGAAGCCCTCTCCGCTGTCGCCAAGCAGCATCAGGAACGCCTAATCAGAGCTGTCAGTGCGCCTGCGTGACGACGACGATTGGCCCCTCCCCCCACAGCCTGGGGCGGCACCCAGCACAGGGCGACTGGTGTATCTAAAGGAGAGGCCGGCAGCCCGCGGCCAAACCCAGCCTGCCCCACGGACCGTCCGTGGGTGGCCCACGAGAGAAGGGCGCATGTCCCAGGTGGACACTTGCCACGGATGGGATGACAAGGGTCGCTACTTTTGAACTGCAGCTCAGCAAAAATGTTCCCCTCCCCCCGCAAAGGAATTCCATCCTTCTCACTGGTAGACTCGTGTGATAAGACGTTGCGGCCAATTATGATTATACTTTGAAAGTCTACCGATAAAATATACGAAAATTTGTTCCGTCTCGTATTATGTGCAAACTGACACGCTCCCCACCGATCTCGCCCCTTGGTTGCCACAGTGTAAACTGTGTCTTTGCTGGCGCTTGGCCAGAAGAGTCTGTCTTCTGTGTCGTGGGACCTGAACGTGCTGCCCGGGCGCCGTGGAGCCCCCGCGGGCCGGCCCCTTCTCCCGCCCGACAGGCCCCCGCGCTGCCAAAGGGCTCCACCCCTCGGGCTTGCCTCCCCGCCAGCCTGCAGCGGCGCCCCAACCAGCCCTCCCGCCCTCCGGGGCACCCCGCCCTCTCGTCACTGCACAGCCCGCCCCCCGCGGCCCCGGCCGGTTCACCCTGCTCGAGTGCGCCCCCTGCCCCCCGCCATGTGGCCCGGGGTGGACGGTGCTGCCCTTCCCCCGCGCCCAGGCTGTGAGTGTCGGCACTCGGAAACGCCAGGCTCATCCATCCGCTGTCCTGGGTTGCGGTCTGGCCGTCTCGTACTGTTTAGGGCAGGGGACCCTCCTTCACCAGTGGGGTGAACAGAGGTGCTCAGAACCCTGACCCTGGTCTGAGGAATGAGTGAATCCGCCCGACTCTGGAACCTCCGGTCCCCCTGGTGCCTCTTGCCCTCCCCACCCCGCCCCGGTGTGCCACGCCCCGCCTCCAGGCCCTCGGCCTCCCGCCCCGCTCCCCGCCCCACTCAGCCCCCGGCACCGCCACACGGCTTCTCCCCCGGCCTGAAACAACAAACCGCCACAACCTGCCCGCTCGCTCTCCGCGTCCTGAAAGCTCCCGCCAGCCCCTCCTCTGCCCAGACCCCCAGATCCGACATAAAGAAGTGCCTTTCTGAGCGTCTGGAGGTCGGAAGTACCGGCGGCCGCCCTGTCTGAAGGCGGCGTCCGCCCCGCGCTCATGAAAAGGCCTGTGTGCGGGGCGCGGAGGGGGCGCGGAGGCGGCGCGGCGTGCAGGCGGGACCGTGGCTTCCTCCGCTCGGAGCCGGCCGGCTTGCCGGCACCTGAGAAAACACAGCCGGAGCCGAGAGAGGGGCCCGATGGGGGAGGCCGCCCGAGTGCGGCGGTCGGGGGACACACATTGGGCCTCTGTGCTTCGCACGGCCGGCCGCCGCCGCTGCCGCGCGGCGCACACAGCCCTCCCCCCGCCCTCGCCCGCCCGGGAGAGCCAGGCCTCCGCCGCGTGTTTACGCTGAAGGGCCAGCCGTCTGCAGCACGGGCAGCGCGTGCACCTCGGCGGCCAGCTTCCAGGGGGAAGAGGCAGGCGACGGTGCAGCGGGAGGGGAGCCCGTGTGCGCTGCGTCTGTGGGTAAAGTAAACCGAGGAGAAAACCCCATGAATGTGCCTGAATTGTGGCAACAGGACACGGGGCTTGGACCCCCAGGGGGTGGGCGGAAGGAGGCATCAGGGGGCGGAGACAGACAGGCAGACAGGCAGACAGACATCGCCACTCCTGTTCCCATAGGGCACACAGCCACGAGAGGGTCGACCAGATGGCCCTTCCTGGAGACACGTTGCAGGTGCTCAGTGGCTGTTGTGTTGGAAATGGCCTCCAACAGGGAAGCTGATCTGGAAGTGGAGACACTGGAGGCCGGATAACAAGGCGAAGAGCTCCGAGAGGCTCGGACAGGAAACGGTGAGGTCTGCCCTGGTGTCTCCTGGGACGGAGAGACGGGGCCAGGCCCCCGCAGGCGTCCCATGGGCGCATGGCGGCCCCCAGGAGGCACGCCCACCGGGAAGCCGCAGATGGCGCCCTGTTTGGGAATCACATCTCTGCAGATGCGATTACAGGGAGCGTCTAGAGGTGTGGCGACCCTGAATTATCCGAGCGAGGCCCGTGCTGTGCTCCCACAGGAAGAGGAGGAGGAGACACAGAGGGACCGGCACAGAGGACGGCCGGGAGACAGAGGCAGAGGCCGGCGTGGTGTGTCTGTCCACAAGCAGCACAGCCTGGACCCACTAGCAGCTGCAGGCTGGGGGAAGGGCCCTCCCCTGGAGCCTTTGGCGGGAGCGAGGTCCTGCTGACACCCTGACCTTGGCCTTCTGGCCTCCAGAGCTGCGGAAGGGTTCATCTGAGTCCCTAGATAGAAGTCACCAAGTCCAGGGAAGCCTGTTATGGCGGTCCGGGGGAAACGCTTACGCTGGCCTCCTCGGGGTGGGCGGTCCACAGACTCCCAGGCCTCAGGGTGGACGAGTGGGCAGACAGCGACATCGTGACCCAGCTAGGGGGCTGTGGGGGTGAGGGTGCCGGCCACCCGAACACGGTCAGCCGTGGGAATAGAAATGGCAGACGGTCAGCAGACGCGGAGCACCGCAGCCGCGATTTCAATGCTTTTAAGTTCGCCTCTCCACACCCCCCTGAGGCAGACACTGATCTCCATCCTCCAGGTGCGGAAACTGAGGCACAGACAGGGCACCTCACAGAAGAGCACGCATCTGATAAACGGGGGACGTGGGATTCGAACCCTGGCCATCTGACGGCTGCAGTGCCTCTCCCAAACACGTCGAGTCCCTGGTAGAGACCAGCAGGGGACCAGCAGGGGACAAGCAGGGGACAGCCGTGAGGGGGGCGACCCAGAGGCAAGCAGACACTTGCATCTCCTTTGGGCTTATCAGTGAAAGACCATTTCATCCACATTTGTACTGAGATCATCGAGGTGAATTAACCGTCCACCAGTTCGCCTGTGCCCACCCCCCCATGCCCGTGCTCAGATGCCATCACCAAGGGACAGGAGGCTCCCCAGGACTGGGAGCGTCCACGGCGGTGGTGGGCGTCCACACAGTCGGCCCCACACGGCGGGCGGGGCTGCCCTTTCCTCTCCCACGACGCCGTGGCTCCCATCAGGACATCCTGCGGGTGCTATTTTGGGAAAATCGATGGCTTTCCCCCCGCCCCCCGCCAGCCGTGCAGAAGCCTGACAGACGGCCCCAGATCTGTGCGCTGGGCTTCCGGGCAACTGTTTACGGAGCACCCGCTGCAGAGAAGGGCCGGGCTCGGCGCTGGGAGCCGAGGCCCCTCGTACGGATCGAACCTGCGTTCGGCGCTGGAGCACATGGGGCCAGCCAGCTGCAGGGAGACCCGGCTCCCTCCTGAGGGGCTGCCTTTAGGGGGCGCTCCGTGCTGCGGCCCCGACCCACACGCAGAGTCAGACCCAAAGCAGCAACCATGGAAGCCTGAAAACGGAGACAACGCGGAGGACAGAACCGGGAGCCCGTCTGCCTTTGCGAGAGGAGGGTGTGTGTTTCATGAAAAGGAGCGGCGGGCTTTTCTGGAACCAGCTGGAGGTCCAACTCCTCCCCGACTTCTCGGGAGAGGAGCGGCTCCGAGGAAGGAAGCTGCATGCTAAGGAAGGCGCCACACAAGACTCACGGGAAATGAGGGGAGTGTCCCCCAGCCACCGAGGCGCAGACCCCGCCTGGTTTCTGCCGTCCCCGGCTGCTTGCGCCACCATGCCTGTTGGAGTTACTATGGCCGGGGTCAGTTTGCGGCCACAAGAGGGCTGGTTCTGGGTCCCTCAGCCCTCGGGGAAGTCCGGGGGCTTCGCACGGATGAGGGCTGTCTCTGGGCCTCGGTTTCCCCTACCTGTGAAATGGGGGTGATGATGGCACCGACCGGGTAGGGTTGAGGGGGTTGGATGTGGGGGTGCGTTTTCTGTGGGGGTGACACTCGGACAGGTCCAGGCTGGGGGAAGGTGGCCTGTTCCTTCCCGCAAGCCCATCGGGGTCCGGCTCCCGGGGGAGACCGAGCTTCAGGAGCAGAGCTGGCTGGCAGCGGAAGGAGAAACTGGACCCGCAGAGCGGGCCGTTGCCGTGGTGCAGTGTCCTCGCCCACGCCCACCCGGCGTTCTGGACGTGTGTTTAGGCAGGAGGCGGCGAGGCTGGGCCCGCTGTCCCCTGTCCCCACGCCTCCAAGCCGGCTCTGCAGGTGACTCCCCTCCCGGCCCGCCTCTCTGCCGGGCTGGCGCCGGGGAACACAGCAACTCTGATTTTGAGGTTCTCCTTTGAGAAAGCCCCCCAAAAGGTTTCTTATGCCATATCTTAGATTTATTCTTAAGTGGTTTTCCCCCAAAGCATGTAAAAAGTTTCTTGCTACTATGAAGAATTTCAAGGCGAGGGAAAAGGAGAAACACGTTATGCGGAATGTCAACAATCATGAACAGGTCAAGATGCTGCCGTTTCTCTGTCTCTCTCTCTCTGTCTCTCTCTCTCTCTCTCTCTCTCTCTCTCTCTCTCTCTCTCTCTCTCTGTCCCACTTTAAAGGAAACCACAGAGACTGTGGTGGCTCAGCTCGCGACTCCCTGGCTCGTGTCCCCAGGAAGTAAGGACGTTTCCCCCACACCGCATCCCCCCAGCTCCTTTATCGCTCGTGACTAAACTGATACTGGCTCCCTAATGTTACTTTGTGCCCAGTCTGAACCCACGTTCCCCTGGCCCCCCTGGGGTCATCTCCCCACGGGGCGCTGGGGCGGAGCCTTCACGAGCAGTCGCGGTGCAGGAGGCCGCTCAGCCCCTGACGCTGAGCCTGCTGTCAGCCTGGGTGACACAGAACAGTTCCCGGGGCCGGCTTCGCCCGGGAACGGCAGGCCGCACCACGCTGCCCTGCCCGGAGTCTCGGGAGCGAGCGAGAAGCGGGAGAATTCCTCTGGTTTTCCTCAGGCCTTGAGTTTCTGGGGAACCCCCCCACTACGTCCAGGCGCCGGCCCCGCCCCCCGGCTGGGGCACTGGGCCCCTCGCCCCTGGTCTGCGGCAGGAAGGCAGGGCCCACACCAAGGGGCACTTCTCTGCCCCTGCCCGAAAAAAAACCCCAACAGAATGCTCCGGTCATTGACCTTCCTCCTGGGCGGAGCGCCGGAGGCCCACCCCGCCCCGCCCCCCGTCCACACGCTCCAGGTGGCTGCCCCCCAAGCCCAGTGTGCCCAGGCGACACGCTCAGCGTGCACACGCCACACACAGAGCGCACAGATCCCTCCATCAAGGACGAACGGACACGCAGGCTCCCAGAACACGCTTTCTCCCCCTTCTCCTCCTTCCCCAACTCAACCGCTCTGAGCACTCCCCGGCCTCCGACAGCCCCCTCTCCTCGGCCCCCCCCCCCGCCACTCCCCGCGCTGTAGGAAAGCGTGCCGCTGGCCAAGCCCTGCTTGTAAACGGGCTGAGCTGGCATTCCCCCGCCAGGCTGGCGCAGGGCAGCCCCAGCCCAGGAAAGGGGCGGGGCTCGGTTTCCTGGCCCCGGGGGCTCCCTCAGCTCTGCCCCCTCTGGGGGGCACCCCTGCCCCCGGCAGCCCAGTGAAAACAAGAGGGAGCGTGGTCAGCCCTCCCGTGCCACACAGGCCCCATAAAAGGCGGCAGAACAACCAGCGGAGAAGGCTGGGGGGTGGGGGCTTACGAGGGGCCTGGGCCCAGGGAAGGGAAAGAAGCCGGAGTCCACGCGTTATAAAGGGAACCGGGTTCACAGCAGGAAGGGTCTTCTTATAACGCAGCCCGCCGCGGACGTGGCCGAGAGCAGGGCAGGCCCGCGGCAGCACGAGCAAGTGGGGCGGCGGTTCACGGGCTCCCGGGGCCGGGCGCTGGCGGCCGGCGTGCTGTGTGATCAGTCGCGCACCCCTGGCGGGCCGGGAGATGCAGGGCAGCGCCCCGGGGAGGCGCCGAGCGCCTGCGGAAACCACTCCTGAAACCCGGCCCCGGGTTCCCGCCTCCGGCACGTTTGCCCAGGGTGCGAGTGCCCGTGGGCTGCGAAGCCCCACAGCACGGGCAGGAACGGGGCTCACCGGGCACCGACCGTGCGTGGGCTCCGCGGCCTGGGGCCTGAGCCTAGGGGCGTGGGAGCCGGAGAGAGACGGCGGTTCCGGCTCCCGGGAAACCCACCGCGCACTAGGGGGCGCCGAGAACGCAGCGACGCTCACCGCATGTTCATCCGCCGGGCGATGCGTGAGCGCCTTGCATGTGTGTATCTGTTTCGAGGCCCTCACTTAATAGATGTTGTTGATTCATTCACCTTGAACTCGGCCGACGGCACCATCACTCACGCGTGCACAGAGCTTCTCTGATGCGTGTTTTCTCCTGCGCTCAGGGACACGGGACGACGCCTTAGGGGCACGCCTGGGCCCACTTCAAACAGCCGAGACCCCTCCACGAGGCGCAAAAATGCGGAAAACGTGGCACCTAAGACCCCAGTGAAAGGACACTGGTCTGCAGCGTGCGACGCAGTGGGACGGGGCGAGGGGTCCCGGTTGGCCTCCGCCGGGAACGGGCGCGAGCAACGGTGCCGCACGTGCGTTCGAGCGACGCGGGAAGTGTCCCGAGTGTTGACCGGGGGGTGACATAAGTGTCTGTGAGCAGGCGGCCTTGCAAGTCCGGAAACGCGGACGGGTGAGGGCTGACTGTGCGCAGCGTAACTGGCACAGAGCGCCCCCCACACGCCTCTGCCCGCACTCGGCTTTGCAGGGCCACGTCGGGGTCGTCGGGAAAGGAAAGGACAGGCAGGCCCTGGAGGGAGGGCGCTAGGACGCTTTTGCAAAGTGCAGCCGAGCCCATGGGCCCCGGGGGCCCGGACAGAACACGTCTTCCAAAGGTCAGCCCACGTGGGCCGCTCCCTCCGCCCTCCCGATGAAATCCAAGCCAGGGCCGAGGCGGGTTTAAGGGGCGGGCGCACATGAGCCCGCGCTGCAGGGTTCTCGACCCACTGAGCCTCCAGCTGCCCGTCTTATAAATGGGCGCAAGGACACAGCCACAGGCCGGCGCGGGGCCAGTGCTGCACTGGCTGGAGGCGGTTGCCGTTAGGGTTGTTATTATCGCTGCTCTCAGGCTGCTGGGATTATCGTCTTTGTCATTGTTAATTATTATTATTATTATTGTTATTACTATTATCATTATTACCAGCATGTACCCCCCGGGCAGGCACATGGCCTCCAACCCATTACTAGCCCTGACGGCAAGAGCACAGCCAGGTCTGGGGGAGTGTGAAGCGTATCCAACGTCAGAGGACACTGTTTTTTTACATAAAAAGAAAGACAAAACTGCACATTAAAAATTCTATGCAGGGCCTTCCAGGGGGTTGGTTTGGGTGAGGAGCCGGCGATTTCGGCTCCAAAGTAAACCCACCTGCTTGGGTCTGACGCCAACATGTAAACTAAGTCCTCAGCCGTGGGTTTCGTTCTTGGTGAATCGATTAAAATAATCAGACATGTCAGTCCATCCCCCGCTCTGGGCCAAGCACAGCGGCGACCGAGGCCAAGGCCGCGCTCTCGGGGAAGAAGCCTCCGGGGTGGGGGGCGAGGCAGGGGAGAAGTGTGAGTGCCCATACAGAGCGTGGATGGAGAGGGGAGAGATGGGAGGGTTTGCCATGGGCACCGAATGCAGGGCACATTCGGGGCTACGACTGCAAGGATGAGGAAAAACCGGTCCTGTGGAGCCCAAGGGAAAGAGCTTCCAGACAAAGGGAACAGGAAGTGAAGGGACAAGCATGGTGTCCTTGAGGAACAGCAAGGCCGGTGGCCTGGAGTGAGTGACATGAGACGAACTGGAAGAGGTGGGCGGGGGCGGGTCAGGGAGGGCTTTGGAGACCCCGCGGAAAGGAGTCTGGACTTGGTGGTAGGAGCGCAGGGGAGCCAGTGGGAGATTTTACGCAGGAGCTGACGCGATTTATCAGCCAATACATTTCCGAAAGATCATTCTGGCCCCCATGAGTAGAATGGGTTATGGGGGAGAGGAGGCAAAGGGGAGAGGCAGCAAGGAGACCCCTGATGCTGTCTTTGGGGTCAGCAGCTCAGAAGGCGGGTCTGGTACGGGTGCAGGGGCAGAGCCATCCTAAGGGCCGCCTCCCGCCCCCTGTGGCCACGTGGCCGGGCTCAGGAGGGTCAGGTCAGCAGCTGGAGCGTTGGCCGTTTACATCGCCCGGTCTGCCGTGTGTCATTACCGTGGCCGCCGCAGTCAGGACGACTGTCTGGTTCCTGTGTGGCAGGTGGGGGCCCGGGGCTTGGAGAGGCTCACGGCTCATCCACAGATGAGTAACCCTCTAGCCCGAACACCAGTCTTTCCAACAGGACTCCTTTTCCGGGACCACCACAGCTCCACTCTCGGGGTACCCCACCGAGAAGGTACCCCCCCAACGAGGGAGAGAGAGATGAGCGCTCGCTGGTCACCTTCCGGGTCCTGGGAGCTCCAGCCAGCACATGGCCACCTGTTGTCGTGTCCTGTCATTTAGGACTCAGAGAGGTAGAGCGACCGGCCCAGCATCACACAGCCAAGTAAGTGGTCGGGCTGGGGTTTGAACCTGGGGTGTCTGGTGCAGAAGCTAATGCTTTCTCCCTGAGCCGCCAGAGCCCCCCAGGGTAAGCGTGTTTTGGAGAAAGGAGATGAAGGAAGTGAGGAGAGAGACAGGCGGATGGAACAAACGGGTCGCTGAGACTCAGATCGGCGCCTGGGCGTGCGCCTGCCACTGCCCGAGGGGACTCCCACTCCCCACCAGACTCGCACGCCAGCTTTCAAGCGGACCCCACGGCCCCGGAAGTCCGTCCTGCGGGCGTCGGCCTGCGAGGGGGCCCCCCCAACACCGCCAGGGAAGGAGGGAATTCTGGGGGTCGCCTTTGTGGGTAACGGTTCTCCAGGGCGGAGCAGATCGCCCAGGACTTACGGGCGCAGAACCAGAGCTCAGAGGCATTCGGTGGATCGGCTGAAACTCCACCGTCGGCCCGAACCTCAGGGCCCGCCTCCTCTTCTTGCTGCAGAAACGCTTCGGATCGTTTCTGCCCAGACAGGCAGCTGTCACTCTCGCCCCGGAGAGGAGGCCACGGCGTGGGGTGAGGCACGGGGAAAGGTCCCGTCTCCAAATGCCGGCAGGCAGCGGTCACTGGGATGGGGGCCCCAGGACGGGGCAAGCATGGTGACAGACAGAACAAGACCCCCAAAGAATTCTGCGTCCTAACCCCCGAACCGGTGACTCTGTGGCCGCACACGGCCCCTTTGCGGGTGTGAGGAAGTTGGGGCTCCTGAGATGGGCAGAGTGTCCTGATCACGGGGGCGAGCCCACTGCAACCACAGGGGTCCTGGGCGGGGGGGCGGGGCGGGGGGGTTAGAAATGTGATGGCAGAGCAGGGGGCGGAGTGAGGTGACTAGGAGCCAAGGGCTGTGGGTGGCCCGGGCGA